AAACTGTTTCCCTTTGAGGGCTTTTTAATCAGGGGAAACAACAACAACAAAAAAGTCACTCGGGTTGAGATCAGGTGAATAGGGAGGTTGGGGTATGCGGGTCACGCTATTTTTGGTCAAGAACTACTGAACACTCAGTGTGGTGTTGGCAGGTACACTCGTAAATCACCTATGATGAAATGAGCAAAAGCATTGAGTCTTCAAAAGAAATTCACTGAAGCCTAACACAGCCTCTCACAACAAGGCCAGCTGATACATTGACACAGATGGGTTCCTAGGACACTCACCTGGTGTGGGGGTGGCGCCTATACTACAAGGGCTTCCGCCTTGCAGAAGATAATTGTCATTTTAGGGGTCCCCCCTTTGTATGTGTCTGACATAGAGAGGAACTCAAAAATATTTGTGGAATGAACTTATTCTTTCTCAATATTTATTAGGATGTGAAAGAACTTCTTGTACTCTGATTTCAGTTAAAAATACAAGTTTTCAAAATTAATCTTTGCTAAGAAAATAAGGGGGAAATCACATAGTAATAAGTGGAATTGTAGAGTACAAGTTTCTCATGCACATTTAAATAAAATTAGCCTGGGCTGACTTGACTTGCACAGTTTGCAAGGCACTGTATTTCCTATTTCCCCCCCATACTCCAATAAAGTATTTAAAAACACCATCCAAAAGCAACTCTTTTAAGTTCTTTAACAGTATAGTTATTTCTTCTTTCCCACTTTTAGTACCTTTTTTGCTTCAATGGAAAGGGCTTATTTGGGAGCTCTGGCAAAGGGACACAGACTATTAATTTGCTAAGTATTTGCTAAGGGGTTTCTTTAGCCAGAAAAATAGGACATTAGAATTAGATACTTTATAGATTAACATAACAGAATCAAAAGTAGACAGGCCAGCACCTTACTCAGCATGGATTTTCCTCTCCCTTCTGAAGAGTACTGGATTTCTTCTACTGCAGTCATTAAAGTTTTTTTTTTTCACTTGAAATAAGATTATAGCAACAGCCTCCTAACTGCATTTTAGGAGGCTAGGGACAGAATGGTTTTCTTCTAAATCCACAGAACAAATAATAAAAGTAAGGCGAGAAAAATTTACACTAAGAGAAGTCCCTGTTGACAATAAAACCATTCAGTCTAGAAGTAATAGTCCATTAGAGTCTGTGGTAATCCTCACATTTTGACCCAGGCCATCTCATCTGATGTGACAGTGTAGATATACTTCTGGAGATATCATTTCCTTGTTCAAAATGCCTACAGGCTTGTGTAGAAGGCAACAGCATAGCCAAGTATTAGCCTAAGGTTTTCCATAAAAAACAGATCTTCTGTGTTGTCTTTGTGGTGGGAGTTTTCCAACATTACTGGAGTGTCCAGTACCAAACAGTCACTCAGTGGGCATATCAGTCTGTTAATGGGAGTAATAAAAAGTATTCCATCAGGAAAGCCGCAAAGTCATGGCCTGGAAAACAGACAACATTTCTGCTCTGATAAGACATTTCTTGGAATGACTCCCCAGGTGCACAGTGGAGTCCACAGAGGTTGAGTGTGCTTTCTAGGTTTGTAGAAGGTCTATTTTCTGATTAAAACAGTTTAATATACTGTGCAACACTATAACTCCCCTTTTCACTGCCTGAGTTTGGAATCAATGGAAAGATAGAGAAGTTACACACATGGAGATAAAAACATCAACTTTATTACTGATAAAGCTAATTTTGATAATGTGGCTTTCTTAACATTGCACCAAATAATTGGTCAGACCATTCATAGATGATACTATAAAACACAGGTATACTTCTGTGAAGTCTGTCCCTGTAAAATTTAAGAAACAAATAACTAGACAGGACCACATACTTCCTTGTAGTCTACTGGCAACCAAGGGAACAAAAGGAGGAGGAGGCTCAGTTACACATGCTCAGATCATGCTCCCAAATTTATCAGTCAGGTAAGTCACCAGAATTAGTAGGTGAGTGAACAGGCAGATAACAGGAGAGTTTAGGGGATTTTTTTTTTCTCCTGGAAACCAGAGGAGAGTGGAAAGGTGGTCTCCACCTCCAAGAACATCTTTCTATCTGCAACATTTAACATTCTAAAAGTTTATGTCTACAGGTAGAGCCATTAGATATTTCCAAACTTTACATCAGTATTTTTATTGATGCGCATTTATTTTAACTTAATATTACTGGTAACTTTATGATACCATTGTAAATAACTCTAATTTGTTGGTGTTTCTCACTGTGAAAATTTTGTAAGAGATGTAACTATACAATTCTATGATTCAATTAACATCTATAATCACTGATATAAATTGGCTAAAATACAACTAGAAATGTACAGGATGAAAGGAAAAAATAGGAAGAACATGAAAAAAGCTGAAGATGTCTGTAGGGGACAATCAATAACATTAAATTGTGAGCATCTAGGACTACAGAAATTTCATATTCTAATACGCAATTAGAATCACAGATCTTAGGCACCATTTGCCTCAACTCATTTGATGCTAAGGTCCATAGAGGGTGAACAACTTGTCAAAAATCAAAACAGCATATGTGAGCACAGGGAGGAAAGAGGAATTAAAATTCAGGTCTTCTGATTTCCATTACAAGATATATCATCAAGATTTATCCTTTGATCACCACGAACATATGCTGATTCATGTGGAGTAAATGCTTGCGCCATATATTATATTAACATCTGATTTAAAAAAAGATAAAAATTACTCAAATACCATTGTACCCTTCCTCCTTGTCAAAGATATTGATTTTTACCCTGGACTTGTTAAAATTTTAGAAAGTAATATTTTAAGCCCAATACAAGTGATGAAAAAGAGGAATGTAATAGTTCACTCAATGGGTTCAAGTCTTCTGACAAGATAAATCATATTCATACTGAGAAAAGTTATAGATGAGATTTTTCTTGGTGATATTGAAAACTTATGGAATATGGGAGAGGAACTATAAAAGGTGCCATGACATCATCAGTCATCAGGGAAATACAAATCTAAACCACAATAAGATATCGACTCATACCTGTTAAGATGGTTATTATCAAAAAATAACAAATATTGGCCAAGATATAAAAAACTGAAATACTTGTACACTGTTAGTGGGAACATAAAATGGTGCAACTGCTATGGAAAACATGTAAATGTTCCTCAAAAAATTAAAATCAAACTAGTATATAATCCAGCAATCCCACTCTGTGTATTTTTCCAAAAGAACAGAAATCAAGATCTCAATTATTTATCTATGCTTGCATCTTCTTTGCAGTATTGTTCATAATAGTTAAGATATGGAAACAACTGGAAAGTCCATTGACAGATTAATGGACAAATAAAATGTGGTATAAACATGCATTGGAATATTCAGGCCAAAAGAGAAGGAAACCCCACCATATCCAACAACATGGATAAATTTGGAGACCATTATGTTAAGTGAAATAAGCCAGTTACAGAAGAAAAAAATACTCTGTGATACCACTTATAATGAGGAATCTAAAATTGTTAAACTCATAGAAACAGAGAGTAGAATGGTGGTTGTCAGGGGCTGGGGGGAGAGGCAAATGGGAGTTGTTGTTCAGTCAGCATAAATTTTCAGTTACGCAGGATAAATAAGTTCTAGAGATTTTCTTTACAACGTAGTGCTTATAGCTTTAAATACTATATTATACACTTAAAATCTTGTTGCAAGGATAGATTGATGGTATGTGTTCTTATCACATTTTAAGCAATGGGTAAAAGATCTGAACAGACATTTGAACAAAGAAGATAATATATATAAACAGTAAATACACATATGAAAAGATGCTCATATCGTATGTCATTAGGAATTTGATAATTTTTAAAAATGAAGAGACACCAGTACATACCTTAGAATGTTGGAAATCTGGGAGACCCAAGATGTCAGAGGAGTAAATGGAAGCTACACTAACCTTCTCCCAAGACCAAACTTGAATTACGAGTAAATTAAAGAAAAATCATCCAGAATAACCAACTGAACGCTAGCTAGAGAGAAGACAGAAGAAACCACTTCACCACAATGTGACTAGTAGGGAGTGTGGAGACACAAGAGGGTTGGCTGGGCTCCCATGGTGGCAGCTGAAGTTCCAGAAGGATATTTCAATATCCAGGGAAGGTACCACCTGAAAAGTGTGGGGTCTAAACCCCAAACTGAGCTCCCAAGCCTCGAGCACCAGAACTGGGAAAGGAACTCAAATAACATCCAGATGTGAAAAGCTGTGGGATTTCTATCTGTCAGGGAGAGACAGCTAGACATGCAGAGCACCTCTTAAAAGGTCAATGAACAAAATTCCATTTGCAGCCACTTTCCCTGGGCTCCAGCAGAAGGAGGGTAGAGTGGACTAGAGATGTGTGAGGAGAGTCTGGAGTTAGTGGCTCTAGGGAAAGAACTGAATGATCAGCTGCGAGCATCCCTGTGTGAAGTCATTCCCAATATTGCAGAAGTCATCTTTCTTGGGCAGAGCACTCCTCTTCAAATGACATCAGCCTGAGGAGAAGCAATAACTCCGCCTGCAGGAATCCCTCTCACCACACCCTATAAAGTTTAAACCAGGCTGCTGAATACAGCTGCAGGCTATTTCAGTGATTAAGTCTAATGGCAAGGGCAGATCCCTGGGATCCTTGAGACTTTAGCTGACCCTCAACCAGTCACAGTGCAGGTAAAATATGGCCTTGGTGCACAGCCTGGCTCTTTTTTTTTCAATTTTAAAGCAGTTACTGTTTATTAACCGACCAGATTACAAAAATAACCATGATAGATACCTTAGGTCATCATTCTAATAAACCTGTTGATCTGGTCCCCCATGTTCCCAGCATCTCCACTTTCTACAAAATGGGTGGCCTTTTTCTTCATTCCACCTCATGGAAAAGATAATTTGAAGGGAAACAGGAAGTGGTTTGCTTCTCTGAAGTGTTTTTCAACAGTATAGATCTCATGAATCAGAGCCTCCATGCAGATGATGTCATATTTACCAAGAGATAGAGCAAAAAATATGGAATGCTTCATGAATTTGCACGTCATCCTTGCACAGGGGCCATGCTAATCTTCTCTGTATCATTCCAATTTTAGTATATATGTTTCCCAGGCATACACACAGCCTGGTTCTTACTGCACACACCCAGGCCCAGCAGAGGGAGTTACATGCTGTGGATCACTGATAGCTCCAAACAGATTGCCCAGGGCCAGTCACAGTCACTGTCTGACATAAGTCTACACCAGAGTCTTTGCAGATCTACCTAATACATACAAACAAACACAAAGAGGAAGCAAAATGGAAAGCAAAAGAAACACACCTCAAATAAAAGAACAAGATAATTCTCCAGAAGAACTAAATGAAATAGAGACAGGCAATTTACCAGAAATCGAGTTTAGAGTCATGACAAAGATACTTAATAGCATGAAAAAAGACAAAGAAACCACAAAAAAAGGACCACTCAGTAATAAACAACGAATTATCCCAAATAAATAATACACTGAAGCAATAAACAGCAGGTTAAATGAAGCCAAGAATCAAATCACCGATTTGGAAGACAGGCAGGAAAAACACCCAAATAGAGCAGCAAAAAGATTTTTAAAAAATGAGAGCTTAAGAAACTGCTGGGACTATACCATAAGAACCCCAAAACACCAATTCAAAAGAACCTATGCACCCCAATGTTCATAGTAGCACAATTTACAATAGCGAAGTGCTGGAAGCAACCTAAGTGCTCATCAGTAAATAAGTGGATCAAAAAACTATGGTACATTTATACAATGGATTACTATGCAGCAGAAAGAAACAAAGAGAATCAAGATGGCGGAGGAGTGAATAGAGTCACACTGACCTCCTTCCAGGAACAATCTGGAATTACAACTAAATTGGGGAGAAATCGCCTGGAACAAACAACTGAACAATAGCAACAGAGGAGCCTTGTAACTTCAGAGACAGAAGAATTGGCTTTAGCGTAATCTAACTGGTAAGGAGTGCGGTACAGACCTGAGAAGGTGGGCGGGGCGCCCAAGGCGAACAGCACCAGAAGGACATTGAAATGGCCAGTTGGATCCCCCTGAGACAAAAAACAAAAAAAACAGGGATCTCTGGCCGACAGCACCAGAGCCCAAAAAGTACACAGAACACAGCCAGCTGTTAAAAGCAGCAGGGTTGCTCTCTGCCAGAGACAGGAGTCTGGAGACACTAAGAACTGTTTAAAGGGCCAACACATAAATTTGTATTTCCAGCCACTTACCCTGTTCTCTGGCAAAGGTGGGGCAGAGTGGGCTGGAGATGCCTGAGGAGACACTGGGAAAGGAGGCTTTGGGGATAGAACTGAGAGAGTAGCCGGGGGGATCTCAGTGCTGACTCATCCTCAATGCAGCAGCAGCCATCTTGCTGAGGCAGAGACCACTGCTCCTGAGAGGCACCAGCATCAAAGGACAGGATAGCCCCACCCCGAGGTGGGATTCCACCCCGCCCTTTGTTGTCTAAGCTGCCAGCTCAGTGCAGAATAGCAGCCACAGACAGTAGATCCCTGGTTAAAGGAGGCGCAGAGAGGGCTGGCAACACTTGAGGAGAGACTGGGAACTGTGGCTTTGGTGAGAGAATGGAGAGAGTAGCCGGCGGGATCCCAGTGCAGACTCCTCCCCCATATGCAGCAGCGTGACAGAACCCAACAACCTTGCCCCCAGAAGAGACTCCACCCAGACCTGAGCTGTCTAACGCACCCTGTTGAGTGCACAGTGAATCCTTTCAGCTGTTAACAGATTAACAACTGAAGGAGAAAGCCACAAACAGTAGATTCCTGGAAGTCTCGAACTAAGTGCCTAAGGTCAGACAGAGACGACATCTGACAGCATCAAAGGCAGCTCCTGAAAATAAAAACAGCTGTGTCCAACCATAGAAGTTCACACCACAAAGTCAGGAAATCAAGACAGATCAACTTAAGAATCAGAAGCAAAAGAGAAGAGTCTCACAAATAATGCGAAGACAAAGAAACACTCCCCAGTTGAAGGGAAAGGAGGAATCCCCAGAAGGAGAGCTAAATGAAATAGAGGCAAGTAAATTATCAGATACTGAGTTCCAAACAACGGTTCTAAGGAAGCTCAATGAGCTCATTGAGCTCAGAGAGAATTACAAAAAACTACAGGGCAACTACGAGGAACTTACTGCAAACTATATCAGCGTGAAAAAGGACATAGAAACTATCAATAAGAGACCAAAGGAAATGAAGAATACAATTTCTGAACTGAAGAACACCGTAGAAGGAATCAGAAGCAGGCTAGATGAAGCTGAGGACTGAATCAATGAGCTGGAGGACAAGGTAGAAAAAAGCTCCCAGAAAGAGAAAGAAAATGAAGAAAAAAAGACTCAAAAAGAATGAAGAGGCATTGAGGGAAATGCAGGACAACCTGAAACATAATAATATCCGGATAATAGGGATAACAGAAGGAGAAGAGGATGAGGAAGAGATAGAGAACCTGTTTGAAAAAGTCATGATGGAAAACTTCCCTAATTGGAGGAGAGAAAAAGTCACACAAGTCCAGGAAGCACAGAGGGTTCCATTCAAGAGGAACCCAATGAGGCCCACTCCAGGACACACCATCATTAAAATGGCAAATATTGAAAACAAACACAGAATCCTAAAGCAAGCAAGGGAGATAGAGGTAGTAACATATAAGGGAGCCCCAATACGGCTAGCATCTGACTTCTCAGCAGAAATACTGCAAGCCAGAGGGAATGGCAAGAAATATTCCAAGTCATGAAAAGCAAAGGCCTGCAACCAAGACTGCTCTACCCAGCAAGGCTCTCCATTAAAATGGAAGGCGAAATAAGGAGTTTCCCAAACAAAAGAAGGCTGAAGGAATACACCTCCTCCAAACCAGCACTGCTGAATATGCTAAAGGGACTGCTTTAAGAAGATGAAGAAAAAGAATCTATGAATACTCAGTTCCATTCACAGTCACCAATACTTGATATTACCAATATTTTTAATACTTAATGTGATTGTGACAATGATGTGTTATTTTAAATGTTACTTTATTACTGGTTGAAACTAAACTTGTTTTTGTAGATTTCTTGCTTATTTCTCTTATTTTTAAAAAGCTTTAAATGACTTTTTGGTATTCTTTATCCATTTTTTGATTAAAGGTTTGTAGAAATTTTTCCTTAAAAAAAATAAAAGAAAAAAACTATTAACCCTTTTTCAGATGTGTTGCAAATACTTTCTTATTCTATTACTTATCCTTTAACTTTCTTATATGTATAGTACTATATTGTCTTAAATGTCTAATATGATCATATTTTCCATATCTTACTTTATATCTCCTGGGTTTGAATATGTTACTTCAGGGTAAGAAAAATATTATTTTATATTTTCTCCTAAAACTCCTTAGATTTTACATATTGATTTTTATCTCACCTGAATATTTTTGTATAATGTGTACAATAGGGCTCTATATTTGTTTTATTTAAAGTAATAGCGGTCCATGCACCTCATTTGTTGAATCTTTATTTTCCCCATTGATTTGAAATATCATTTTAATCATATATTACATTGTTAGACAGATACATACATTTCTTTCTACAATGCTCATTTTATTTCATTGATTTACTTGATTATTTCCCTGCTGGTGTCATGTTGTTTTAGTTGCTGAGACTTTATAATGGATTTAAATTTTTTAATATTTTATAATGGATCTTGACATTTAAAACATAAATAAAATCAATCTGCATTAAAAAAAAAGAAAGAAGGAAGGAACTTCTTTGTTTTGTGACAACATGGATGGAACTGGAGAATATTATGCTGAGTGAAATAAGCCAGTTGGTGAAAGACTAATACCATATGATCTAACCTATAAGTGGAGTTCTACAAAGTAAACTAACAAACAAAATAAACCACAGGGAAGGGAACATGGAGCAGAATGAAAGTGACCAGAGGGGAAGGGGAAGGAGGACAAATGTGAAAAGAAAGGGAAGGTACTAGACAAAGAACATGTATGAATTACCCATGGACATGGACAACAGAGTGGGAATTGACTGTGGGAGGGGGGGATAGGGTGGGATTGGTGGGGAAGGCAAAGGGGTGAAAATTGAGACAATTGTAATAGACTAAACATGATTTAAAAATAAAAAATAAAAGAAAATTATGTGTATAACATAGGAGCACCTCAGTATGTAAAGCAAATCTTGATGGACATAAGGGAAAGATTCACAAAAATACAGTCATAGCTGGAGATTTTAACACCCATTGATTTCAAGAGACCAGACAGAAAATCAACAAGGAGAAAGAGACCTTAAAAAACACACTAGATCAAATGGATTTAATTGATATCTTCAGATCATTTCATCTCAAAACATCATAATATACTTTTCAAGTACACATGGAATATTTTTTAGGAAAGATCACATGTTAGGACACAAAACAAGTCTCATTGATTTAAAAGGATTGAAATCATATCAAGCATCTTCTCTGATCACAATGCTATGAAACTAGAAATCAATCAAAAGAAGAACACTGAACACCATGCAAAGACATGGAAGCTAAATAATATGTTATTGAACAATGGATGGGTCAACAACGAGATCAAAGAAGAAATCAAAAGATACCTTGAAGCAAATGATAATGAGGACCCAACAATCCAAAATCTGTGGGACACTGGGAAAGCAACCCTAAGAGGGAAAGTCATAGCATTACAGGCCTATCTTAATAAATAATAATAAAAAATTTTTTGAAAAGCTCAAATAAACAATCTATCTTCACACTTAGAGGAACTTGAAAAGGAACAACATATAGCCCAAAAATAAATGGAATATAATCTAAAAACATGATCCAAAAGGTCCATGAATACAAGAGCTGGTTCTATGGAAAGATAAACAAGATAGACACACTTCAACCAGACTCATCAAGAAAAAAAGAGAGTACCGAAATATGTAAAATCAGAAATGAAAGAAGAGCCCTAGTTGGTGTGATTTAGTGGACTGAGTACCTGCCTGCGAACCAAAGGGTTGCCAGTTTGATTCCCAGTCTAGGGCACACGCCTGGGTTGTCGGCCAGGTCCCCCATAGGGGGAACACAAGATGCAACCACACATTGATGTTTCCCTCCCTTTCCCTCTCT